GGATTTGGTTTTTAGTACCAGTGTGATAACGAGTAGAAAAAAAGGGACAGAAAATTACCACCCCATTAAGGCACCCATTGTGACAGAAAGGATGCCGTTTTATTTACCAGAACAGTTTAAGATGTCCTGTCATTATCAAACACACATTTCTGACAACATTTTAATATTTAATTTAATATACAAATTTATAAGAATAAGTTCACTTATAACACTCAAGGCTAAAAAAAATGCAGTGTTGCTGATTTGACAAATTCACTTAAAGTGACGGACTGCTGCTTTGCAATTACCCCGTTATATTGCTAACTCAAAGTTTTAAAGGTGACAGACTTTTTGCGTGTTTAAGTGCTATAATAGGGTTCCTGGTGCATATACCAACCCAGTAAACGTGAAAAAAAATAAATAAAAACTGTAATTCTTTTTTGTTAAGCCTTTCTCTGCAAGCTTGTGAAAAACGAGCCACTCAGATAGGAGTTGTTGTTATAATATTACCACCTCTTAAACGGGTCCACCATTTTCACAATCGACACCGGTGTACCATTTCTAACGCCATGGCAAAAGTTTGAGCAAAGCATGCTAACTGTTCTGTCTTTGGCTGCACTGACGAGCACAGAACACTATTTAGAGTCCCAACCTCAGAAGAGACAAGAGAGCAGTGATTTATTGATTTATTTACTGTATATTACACTGCTGCCACACAGATCTGAAATAAACCTGCGATTTCTTTCCCAGCTGTTTATCTTCACAGACATAATCAACTCTTTTTGTAACCCATGTGTTTTTAGCATAAACTTGTGTGTACTTGAAAGTTTAAGCGCAATAAGACATGAAACAAAACTCAGTTTAGTACTCATGTCATGTGACAGCCGCTTTCTGTGCGCATGCTTCGTATGTGTGCACTCAGACAACTATATATCAGAAGTTTAAAATAATATGGTTTAAAATACATGATTTCAGAGCGACACACATGATAATCATAACCAAACAGATGTTTTTAACAGTATCTGAGGAACAAGCTGTAAAGGCACAGCCCTTATTCTGGAAAAGGGAGCGGGGAGCAGTAGCTAATTTGCATTTAAAGAGACGCGCACGAAAATAGCTCGTCTCTGCTTCCACTCAAAATAGGCATTTTCAAAATGATACAAATCATCTGTGGGGTATTTTGAGCTGAAACTTTACAGACACATTCTGGGACTTATATTGCATATTGTAAAAAGGGGCATAATAGGTTTCCTTTAGCAAAATGGAGTCATTTTTAAATATTCCAATCTGATTGGCTTTGGCTTTAGCGTTGGTTTACAGTCAGAGCAGCCCGTAAGGCAACGTCTGAGGCAGCTTTCTCTCATCTCTTCATCTTTTTCTGCCATTCCCACAGTCTGGAATTTCAGCACACATCTGCCACTGGGAAATGATCTGCTATTGGCCTCAAGCAAAGGAAGTCAAGCACCTATTTGAAATATGTCAAAAAGCAGCTCTCAAAAAATGAAAGAACAATCTGTGCTGAGCTCTTTGTGTTTTACATGAACAGAAAGGTCTCTGTGTGCCAAAAAACAGGTTCAGAAACGAAAACGATGCTGTCGTCTCCAAAGCCCTCACATAATGCCTAGTGAACACAGTAGAATAAAAGTCTGAAAAAAACGGAAAAGGTCATTTTCTTCCAAGACATCTATGTGTTAAGTTTCTTTTAAACACAACGCGATGTGTAATTCAAAAGTACAGGTAAAATGCCTGTGAAAAATTAATAAAAAAATTAAAAAAAAACATTAACAGTACATTGTGCCCTATTTCTGAAGGCACAAATTGCCTCTGTAAAATCACTATGTATTGAGAGGATCACTTTTTCCCTACAAAAGCTCTATTCCTAAAAAGAATTGTAATTTGGGGTCTAAAAGTTTTTAGAGAAAAAAAAAATAAGTCACAAACACCAATACATATTTATACACAGTGTATATGTGTCTGTGTCTATTCATACATGCATACATACATACCATACATAGTCATGGCCAAAAATATCGGCACCCTTGGTAAATATGAACAAAGGCGGCTGTGAAAATTAATCTGCATTATTAATCCTTTTGCTCTTTTATTTAAAAAAAATTCACAAAAATCTAACCTTTCATTGGATAATTGTGTTTTTCTGTCAATATGGGGTGCTGTGTGTACATTAATGAGGAAAAAAAAATTAACTTAAATGATTTTAGCAAATGGCTGCAATATAACAAAGAGTGAAAAATTTAAGAGGGTCTGAATACTTTCCGTACCCACTGTATGTAGAAATTTATGTAAGCCAAGATTTTAAAAGCCATAATTTCAGAAGTGACAGAAATGTCAAATACAATAATTTTATGTGGGCCTATGTATGTATTATTATAATTTTTTTTTTTACAAGGAATTCTTTTCTTATCTCTTACTTTGAATTTGCTATAAGAAATCAAATACACTTCTGGACAATAATCAATCATTTGTAATCTATAATTTTTTCCTAATGGCAATTTTATGATTGTTTTATATACTACAAACAATTATTTACATTTTCTGCACAGAATAAGGAAGAAGATATACTTTATAGTTTCTGTACTGTAATAAATATATCAATTAGCACTGTATCATTCATAAATTGTATTTATTTATTGTGTTTATTGTCTTAATGTTTCATTAGTACATTCTGCTTTTTATACAGTTTAGTTGCTATAGATGCCTTATTAGGCATTTCCTGGCAGGCCTTAAGTTCTTTGAGTGCAAGATCACTTCTCTTTCAGTGCGAAAACTTCTTTATCTCATTTTCATAAAATAAAATGCTATAGTATTGAAAAACTACAGAAAAGTAAAACTACTTTACTTTAGCATTACTGGCCACGAGTACTAAGGAGAGATCACACATTGGCTGCTTGTGTGATGGCTACGTTTACATGCACAATTTTTGGTTCAATCGGACTGAATTCATTCCGATTGATGAATCTGAACGTAGTGTTTACATGAACGCTAAATAAAGTGATCAGGTTGATGTGCGTGTTTATATGTCACAAGTTTCAAATCGGAATTGATTTTTTACATGCGCACACAGCACAAATATAGTGTTTCTCACTGTTTGCACATAATAACCACGTTCCTACATGGTTTCTTTATTTGTTTTTAACAGCAGAATTAATATTTATTAATTTATGGATAAATGTACATAAACCGCTGATAAACTGCTCATATTTATCACACAGTAAAAATGCCCCTCCCCGCGCCCAAAACGGGTTGCCTGAGGATGAGTATCCAAAACAAGGACTGGTGAGAGGTTGTCCTGCTCCACTTCACAGTTGACGAGTGAAAGGAGAGTTTTATAATGACAGAACACGCATTTATACAACACTTTACTCAAAATGGGGAAGTCGTGGCCTAATGGTTAGAGAGTCGGACTCATAACCCAAAGGCTGTGGGTTTGAGTCTCGTACCGGCAGGGATTCTATAGTATTTAACTTTTCCTCTCCATCGGCGAATAATGATTCTGAAAGAAAATGTGCCCGATGTCTGTTTGCTATAGCAACAAACGATACTTTCATGCATCTGATTATCAGATAAACCTTGCGCACTTATTTCAAGGTTGTTGTTAATGCTGTGGTTATTAGGATGAGTATCCAAAACAAGGACTGGTGAGAGGTTGTCCTGCTCCACTTCACAGTTGACGAGTGAAAGGAGAGTTTTATAATGACAGAACACGCATTTATACAACACTTTACTCAAAATGGGGAAGTCGTGGCCTAATGGTTAGAGAGTCGGACTCATAACCCAAATGCTGTGGGTTTGAGTCTCGTACCGGCAGGGATTGTAGGTGGGGGGAGTGAATGTACAGCGCTCTCTCCCACCTTCAATACTCCCAGAAAATGTGCCCGATGTCTGTTTGCTATAGCAACAAACGATACTTTCATGCATCTGATTATCAGATAAACCTTGCGCACTTATTTCAAGGTTGTTGTTAATGCTGTGGTTATTTTAACAGTTTCCTTCGTATACTCGGTTCAACGACATTGTTAAAACACATTTATCATTCAGTGGAACTGTGCATATGCTTTAGAGCAGTGGTTCCCAACCCTGGTCCTGGAGGCACCCCAACACTGCACATTTTGCATGTCTCCTTGATCAAACACACCTGATTCAGGTCATCAGCTCATTAGTAGAGACTCCAAGACCTGAAATTGATGTGTCAGAGAAAAGAAACATGCAAAATGTGCAGTGTTGGGGTGCCTCAAGGACCAGGGTTGGGAACCACTGCTTTAGAGTATTAAAGCTCACAGTTGACGAGTGAAAGGAGAGTTTTATAATGACAGAACACGCATTTATACAACACTTTACTCAAAATGGGGAAGTCGTGGCCTAATGGTTAGAGAGTCGGACTCATAACCCAAAGGCTGTGGGTTTGAGTCTCGTACCGGCAGGGATTGTAGGGGGGGGGAGGGAATGTACAGCGCTCTCTCCCACCTTCAATACTCCCCTTTGCACGAATAAAACGTGTCGCATTTTGTTTTTCTACCAAATTATATGTAATATCTAATTATTATATTAATATTAAACTTACATTGGAAAGGTTTTTGTGACCTCTCGTGAGATCTCTGCAAAAAGTCTCACGATTTATTTCCAGAACATGATTCATGATGGGATACACTAAGCCTCGAATAGTGCTCCGGAGTGGTATTCGAGATAGTGTGGGTTTAGTGTGCTTTACTGTGCTTTGGCGTTTTTAAGACCTGGGACAGTCTTGCGCACGCGCTCTCAAGTGGCCAAGACCGCAAGTGTGGGTTTTAGTAGTCTTCAGGTGTTTGATGTCAGCAAATGCAAAGGTGTTATTCTGTGTTGCCTGCTGCTACCTGCTGATAACTGTTATGCATATGTAAGTTTTATTAAAAAATAAACAGAGAAACGAGTGTAAAAATTATGCAATATTTTATTTCATAAAATGCATATGTTTTTCAGTTCATCACATCAGAACACCAAAGATATTACAGAGAGAATACAATGTATATATTCAGTACAGTGTGTCTCATTGTAGAATGTGAAGAGCTGCTGGATTCAGTGCAGCAGGATGAAGGAGAGCAGAGAATGATCATTCTCAAGTGTCGTGATCAGCACTGCTGCTGTTGCACCAGTCAGTGTGGTTAGATCAGCGAAGCAGTCAATAAATGGGACACCAATTAAGCCCTATATATGGGACGTCCCGGCTAATACGGGACAGATGGCAACCCTAGCTCCATGCCTCTTCAGCGTTGCATTCGTTGTCTTTTGTGTTCTGTTTGTATTTCCACAGCATTAATTCAAGAAAATAAAAATGTATGAATGCTCGTTTTAAAATGTTCCCTGTCTACTGACATTTGTTATGACAACCGCCTCGATGATAACTTTCTCTACAATAAGTAAAAATGGCTGCCCACTGCTCCGGGTGTGTGTTCATGGTGTGTGTGTGTGTTCACTGCTGTTGTGACATGTTGAGTACTTGGCCACATGTCACGTCACTCACTCACTAAAGATGGCTACATGCTTGTTTCTCTGGCATAGGCCTTTAGCAAGAGTGTGGAGTACGTCAGCCTCCCAAATAAGACACAGCCACTGATTATAATGGGTTCTATGGGTGAATCATAGCTACGGCTGTTTTTGTAGCCAAACTATGTGAACATAGCGTTATTAAAACGATATTATGGCTAGACCACAAGACGTTTAAGATAAATACTTTATTTTTTTGAATAATTAATAAGAATGATTCTTGTTTCCTGATTGGCTGCTGTTTGTGAGAATGTAGGCCTACCTAACTAAATTTTGAATGAGAAATTTCGAACCATTGCATTTGTTTAACTAAAAAAAGTGCAGTAGCTTTGTAAATATTGTGAATATAATATAAATAGAATATAAACTTAATCTTTACATACACTAAAAATGCTTAACGTATGACCGACCTTGAGATGGAACATTATTGAGAAACCAGGCCAAGAATACTTTCGTTCTCTTTAATTCAAAGTGACTGTTTGTAATTGTGCAGCTGTAACCAAACCATAGACTGTATAAAAAAACATGGACGTAGTGTCCGTGACGTCACCCGTAGATTTCCGAAGAGCATTTTTGAAGCTCAAAAGTGGGCGGAGCCGGCCGTCGCCATCTTGGCAGCGCGTCACCGCACGTCACTCCCGGATAATCGAAAATGGCCAGAGAGGTGGGAGCAGGTTGCTGAAGCCACGCCCACCTAGCTCCACGGTGGTGACAGCAGCGACAATCCACCTGTCACTCAAGTGGCCACGCCCTTAATTATGCAGAACTTTAAGGCTTAATATAATTTAAACGGATAAGTTATAAAAAAATTCCCCCCCTTCACAGTTGTCATGAAGGGCAAAATTAGCTATATAGACCAAAATTATTTTTTGATCCAGGCTGTAAACATGTTTTTTTTCTGCTGTAAAGTTGGGCATTTTAACATGGGGAGTCTATGGGATTGATTCCCTTTTGCAGCCAGCCTCTAGCGGCCAGTTGATGAATTACAGTTTAAGTCACTTCCTTGTTGGCTTCACGAGAGAGAGCGGGAGGTTGCCGCTTGAACCAAACACATTGAATCAGTATATATTGGAGTACAGGAATTTACAACAGTGTAACCTAACAAACACTGGGTGTTTTCAAATCATGGACTGTCATTTAAAGTTTTAATCCAAATGTATACTCAAATGAAGTCTAACACAAGACTGTCAATTACTACGAAAATAATACACTTTAAAAGAATGTACTTAAGTGTGTTTTCAAACAATTGCATGTTGATTGAAATAAATCGAAAATGTGGAATAGTTTAAATTCATGTCAGATGCAGTTTGTGCAATTTGAACCACTTATAAGACGTATGTCCACGTTCTTATGTAATTTCATAATTCTGTTTTCTTTTAAATATGGTTAAAGTGTAGCTATACTGCTGAATGTACTATGGCAATTTAATATTTTGTTTAGATATGTTAAACCAAAGCAAGAAATTATGCAATTAATAGTATATTAATATCATTCTCACAAGAACATTCTCTTTTTGCAAACAAATACAATGACATATCAATACATCACAATTCTAAAATAATTGCATTGAGCTGTAGCCTACACTGCAAAAAATGCTTTTCTTACTTAGATTTTTTGTCTTGTTTCCAGCCTAAATATCTAAAAATTCTTAAATCAAGAAGGATTTTCTAGACAAGTAAAAATTATTGTCTTGTTTTCAGAAAAAACAAGTCAAAATTAAGTTAGTTTTTGCTTAGAACAAGCAAAATAATCTGCCAATGGGGTAAGCAAAATAATTTTATTTCAAACAGAAAACAAGATTATTTTGCTTACCCCACTGGCAGATTATTTTGCTTGTTCTAAGCAAAAACTAACTTAATTTTGACTTGTTTTTTCTGAAAACAAGACAATAATTTTTACTTGTCTAGAAAATCCTTCTTGATTTAAGAATTTTTAGATATTTAGGCTGGAAACAAGACAAAAAATCTAAGTAAGAACAGCATTTTTTGCAGTGTAGACTTCAGGCGTTTGATGGAAGCAAATGCAAAAGTGTTATTTTGATAGGAAAGATCATCTGCTGCCATCTGCTGATAATCATTAGCATGACTGTTACAACATCACAACAGGCGAAACAACTGATTCATTTCAAAATGAATTACAAAAATTAGTGATTCATTGTGTCCTGTTGGATTTTTATTTGCCAGTGTAGGAGGAATGAGGTATATGTTAATTCAATTAAATCAGTAGTTTTATTTTAAAGGGGTCCTATTATGCTTTTTCATAAAAAGGCATAAAAAAGAACTTCAAACTTACAAATCTCAAAGTCCACTCCAAAGGGAGATATTTCGTTTAAAAAAAAAAATCCCTTTTCAAGAACTACAACGAACGGCTCGTTTGGACTACAGCGTTTGTTTTCCGGGTTTTGTGATGTCACAAAGCGGCCCATTAGAATATCATTAAAATAATTCTGGCCTACAGAAATTTGAATGGTTGGGGGGTGGGGAGGGTCGTGGTTAGAACGCTTGGTTGAGTGCATCAGACGAGACGACGACGACGAAGAAGTGCTGCTGTAGCCTTTTTGCAAGTTATTACACATGCACCTGAATAATTATGTATGCAAATATGTATGTTACAATTATGAAAACTTTTTATAATAAATTGCTGACAGTACAATACTGGACAATGATGTAATCTGCAGAATTTATATTTCAATTATGAGACTACAGTGTTTCCCATACATTGAGTGCGGGTGTTTTTATATCACTGTATTTCTGAAGGAAACCGACTGTCTTCAGAAAATTGGATGTCATTTTCATTTAATCTGGCATGTAATGTCTGATAAAGCAGTGTTTTTTTTTAGCGGAGGTCTGCTTTGTGTACAGCCCTTACCGGGGAAACCTCGATCTCTGCCACTCCAACAGCACCTCCTGCTGGCAGAGAATGAGTTTGCATGCCGCCTGGGAAACACTGGACTATGGTATAAATAAATGCAACTGTATAACAGTTTAATTGGAATTCATTTTATAATGTCAGAATTAAATAACAATAAAAATAATACATATGCACTTATCTGTACATAGTAAATGCAGTTATTTTTAAGCGGTTGTTGACATCCTATCTAAAACATGATTTAGCCAAAAAAACAACAACAACAATAACGTTACCACTTTAATATGTCTTGCAATATCCGTGCGTGCAACGGTTCTGCGCGATCCTCTTGTTCAATATTCTCTGGGTCTGAATCCGGCTCAAATTGATATGGCAATATTGAAGCCATCCTTAACTAAACTTGCTGCTTAGGCAAGGGGCGGGGCAGTACTGAAACACTGTCTAAGCTGTTCGCCAATCACAACGCATGCTGGCATAGCTAACCAATCACATTTAGTTTTTCGGAAGGTGGGCGTTCATCAAACCCGGAACTAATCAAGCCGTTTGTGCCAGGATGGGGAGAAAGGTATTGTAATAATGTAAATTATGTAAAAAATAATGCGTTTTTCAAACCACCAAGCATGAGAGCATGTTCTAGTACACACCCAAAACAAATTCAAGACATTGTAAAAGAGCATAATAGGACCCCTATTAAGCATACAAAAAATCTGGGTGTTGAGCACAATGAGAAAGTCTGAGTTGTATGGTTAAGACATTGTGCACCAGCAGACCCTCATGTAACACTGAGTTACAGATTTATCACCTTTACCCTCTTTCACCTCAAGAGCATAAATACACATTAAACACTTCACCAATATAGCAAAATACATAAAGCTGCAAAGGTGTTACAGAGATCTGATTTGCGTAGACCATAACAAACCACCAAGCATGAGAGCATGTTCTAGTACACACCCAAAACAAAATCAAGACATTGTAAAAGAGCATAATAGGACCCCTATTAAGCATACAAAAAATCTGGGTGTTGAGCACAATGAGAAAGTCTGAGTTTTATGGTTAAGACATTGTGCACCAGCAGACCCTCATGTAACACTGAGTTACAGATTTATCACCTTTACCCTCTTTCACCTCAAGAGCATAAATACACATTAAACACTTCACCAATATAGCAAAATACATAAAGCTGCAAAGGTGTTACAGAGATCTGATTTGCGTAGACCATAAATATATTTCAATTACCGTTAGTATATCTTTTAAAATTCATCACACCAAATCAAAGACAGTACAGAGATAATACAACTATATGTTTGTAATGCGCATCATACTGTATCTTTGCTGCAGCTGCAGAATGTGTCGAGCTGCTGGATTCAGTGCAGCAGGATGAAGGAGAGCAGAGAACAGCAGAGGAACAGGAAGCTCTGAGTGACACTCTGAGCACCGTTACACAGGTTCCCTGAACAACATGACACACCACCAACAAATGTATCAAATATTGAGACAATATCACAAATGGACTTAGAGACACAGCCTTTTACAGATAATGGCTGGCTTTCGAACTTCCCTGATGAAAAGAGGAGAAGGTTGAATCAGTCAAAGCAGGACACTGGTATATGATCTGTATCAAATGCTCAAACATAAAGGAGATAAAAATATAAATTTTAATCTTCTTCCTTTTCCAGATTCTCACCTGTTGCTTTAAAGCAGCGGTCTTCACTCCCTGAACAGCTCACTGTGCTTGAGCAGCTCTGTCCATCACAAGAGTAACATTTATTTCCATTGGGGACAATAGAGGGATCTACAGGAGGAAAAAATAGCTTTCTTTACAAATTTCTATTTCAGATGACATACAATCCCTGATAGAAAAAGTACCATTATTTTTGTTCAATGACTGCATGTCAGTAAGGTTCAATACCTGGAGCGTCTAGGGAGTTACAGAGATCCGTGTTACAGCAGGTAGAAGCAATCTTTCCAATGCCAAGGTTGATGGATCCACTTGGACAGCCAATTGGTAAAGCACAACCTTTAGCTGTTATTATAGTACCGTTGCCTAAAAACACATGAGTGATACAGGAATGAGAAGTTCAACTGAATATTATTTTGATGGAAAATGTATTTATAAATATGTTCAAGTCTTTTCAATAATGTAATGAAAATACAAACTTTGCAATATTAAATGATCTCTAATATTTTATTCAATGATGTCCAAAGGTGTAAGACCACTTGTAAAAATGCTTTACAATAAGTCAAACAAAAATCTATAAATAGAACATTCTATGCATGCAGTTGTAAATTCTACCCAGAAAAAAAGAGTATCGGTTCTGTGACAATAATAACACTGCCGCGGCACCAGTAAATTATAGCAGCATCTCCAGCAGTAAGTTATAGCAGTAAATTTCAGTCCATAGCAGTAAAGCAGTAAATTTCATACTTACCAAAATATAATGTTGCACTGATGCAGCTGGTAACTCCACTGGAGCATGTTGTCTGTGCACAAGAGCTCGACAGACTTGTGCACAGATAACAGCTTAGAGAGTGTCCTTTAGTAATACGAGAGAGACTTTTTTTAGTAAAAAGAGAGAGAAAGTGAGAGAGAGAGAGACATCTAATGATCTGTATTTGTACTCAATAACGTTCCAAACACTATTTGTCTTTGTACCTGCAGTGAAGAGAACGAAGAGAAGAAAAACTGAGATTTGTAGATCCATCTTTGATCAGGCGGGGAATGACATAAAGTGCCTGTTTCAGCGCTTATTTTATAGATTATCAAAAGGGGTGGGTCTTGACGAGAAAATGAAAGTTTAACTAAAAGACCAAAAAAATATACATTTACTTGCCAATTAATGACCATATGGGACTGCAGATGAAAAGTAGTTATTGTTACTAATTCTGGCATATTTACATGGTGTATATGTATACAACAATGTTCATGAATATGCATGGTCCCTATTAAATAAACCAATAAATAAATAAAATATGAAGGGTCTAATGAATAAATTAATCTTTATAACAAATGTATAGGGTGTACTTAAAGTGATAGTTCACCCAAAATGTTACTGTGGAGTTTTATAGAGTTCTTAGCATGTTCTTAGCCTGATTTAACAAATCGCTATTAACATGTAGCTATTCACTGCTAGCATGTGTAGCATGCATGATAGAAGACCTGTTTGCTAGGATGCATCAAAAGAGCAAAACCCCATGTTTCTATGACACTTCTATAGAAAAGATATGCCTTTTGATCTGTTTAAATGGTAGTCTATGAGGTGATTGCTAGGGTGTGGCTATGAAGATTATAGATTATTACTTATTGGTACTTGAAAATGTATAGCCTGAATATTTTATCCACGCTTTGGATAAAAGCGTCTGCTAAATGCATAAATAATAATAATAATACGTCAAATGAGTGTGTGTGTGTGTGTGTGAGAGAGAGAAAAGTGGTTCCTAAGGCTCTCTGTGTGTGTGTGTTTGTGTGTGAGAGAGAGAGAGAGAGAAAGTGAAATTTGAGATTCAAATTCATGAACATTCCGTCAATGTAAGTCCATAGCCTGCTTTTTCGTCTGCTGTGTGAACATCGTAGGTCCGATCGCTTAGAAAATATAGAACACACCTCTCCTCAATGAGCCAGTCGATTTTACACCTCATTCATGGGTCTATGAGTTACGGTGTGGGATGAGTTACTTTTTGCACACTTAATAGGTGCTCATTGTAAAATATTATGTCTTCATAATCTGTCATTAACACTCTTTGTCTGCAAAACAACTTTCATAATATCATAATAAGTTGCAGTCACTTTTACTGCTGTTTGCATGCAAAATCTAGTCATTCCGATAAGAATACACTTGATCTAGAATTTTGTGTGAGGGGAAAAGTTTTTCCACAATCAGATTTCGAAATGGGTTCAAGTTGGATTTGCCGTCTTGACCAACAGGAAGCTGATTGAACGTAACTTCTGTGAGAGTTTCATAGATTACATTGCTACAATCTTAATAATAAAGGTTCTTTATTGGCATCAGTGGTTCCATGAAGAACCATTAACATCTATGGAACTGCACAAAAGGTTCTTTAAAGTGGAAAAAGTATAGGTTTTGTTAAAAATGTTATTTACACTAAGAACAACAGTCCTTATAAGAAATATTCATTGAAAGTTCTCGCTGCAAAAACTTGGAAACTTTATTTTTAAGAGTGTGCACTATTAACAGTAGACCTTTTGTCTGTGAAAAAATGTAACCGCACCTTTAAATGTTTTGACAGTAAACTATTCTATGGCAGTAAAATACAATACTCTGAGCATCTTAAAAGATCTGTCTTACAGCACATAGAAGAGACCTTTTCAATGCTGTTTGCACAGCCAGTTGGTGATGCACAATGTTTCAACTTAGTTGTAGAACTAGTATTACCTCAAGAATACAAGATACAAGATACAAGAATGACAAGTTCAACTGCACATTCTTGTGTAAAGATTATTTATGAATATATCAAAGTAAGTGCTTTTTCTTTCCAATAATGTATGGACTCACAGCTGCAAAACAGAAGAGAAAAGACAAACTTTTCAATATAAAATAGGATATCCTATATTTCTACAGCGAGGTCACATCAGTAAATAATACCAGGATTTCCATCAGTTAATTATAATGGTACATTTCAATCCATCATACTGGACAATATACACTGACAAAAAAAATGGCTTATCTTACTTAGTATTTTTGTCTTATTTCTAGTCAAAATATCTAAAAATTCTTAAATCAAGATACTTTTACTAGATAAGCCAAATGTCTTAAGAAATTTAGTCTTTTTTCCAGGGGAAAAATTAAGCACATTTTGCTTAAAACAAGTAAAATTATATGCCAGTGGGGTAAGTAAAATACTCTTGTTTTAAAGGGGTCCTATTATGCTCTTTTACAAAGTCTTGATTTTGTTTTGGGGGTGTATTAGAACATGCTCTCATGCTTGGTGGTTCGAAAAACGCATTATTTTTCACATAATTTACATTATTAACATACCTTTCTCCCCAGCCTGGCACAAACGGCTCGATTAGTTCCGGCTTTGATGAACGCCTGCCTTCCGAAAAACTAAATGTGATGTGATTGGTTAGCTGCCCCAGTGCGTTGTGATTGACGAACAGCTTAGACGGTGTTTCAGTACTGCCCCGCCCCTTGCTCCATCTTTCAACAAAAGCTTTTGGCGAATCCAGCACTGTACAACCTCATGTTGTGGAAGCTGTCCTCAGTAAAATGTGCAGCACACAATAGCAAATTGGGGTTATAATGCTCAGGAACAGAGTTAAAAAAATAAATAGCATCCACTGTTTCCTGACATCATCCGCTTTCGAAAGCCCAAACAAAGACGTTTGGGCACGGAGGTGAAAAAAACTGTGTTTCAGGCGGTTGCACACCTGACGAGAAGTGCAGCGTCGCGCCATTTCTTTAAAATTCAAATACTTTATTCTCTATGAGTGTAGGCCAAGCGGCAACCTCCCGCTCTCTCTCATGAAGCCAACAAGGAAGTGACTTAAACTGTAATTCATTGACTGGCCGCTAGAGGCTGGCTGCAAAAGGGAGTCAATCCCATAGACTCCCCATGTTAAAATGCCCAACTTTACAGCAGAAAAAAACATGTTTACAGCCTGTAAAATTATTTTGGTCTATATAGCTAATTTTACCCTTCATGACAACCTGCTCCCACCTCTTTGCCCATTTTTGATTATCGGGAAAGACGCGCGGTGACGAGCTGCCAAGATGGTGTAGCGAATTTAGCTCATGGGGAAATATGAATAATTAACCACTGTAACCACTACAGGCATATGGAAGACAACTTTTAACCTTCACTTTTGTGGTGGTGTCTCCTAAAAAACATCAATTATACAGGAATGACAACTGCTCATCATTTTAATGGTGAATTTATTTATAAATGTCAAAATAGATTAAAAAAAATCTTTCTAATTACAACTGCAAAGCAGAAGAGAAAAGTCAACATTTGTAATATGAAATGATCGCTTAGGTCTAAAAGGCCACTAGTGAAGCACTTACATTTTTTCTGATGCATTTTTCTTATTTCAAACATTTTTCATTACTAATTATATTATTAGCATAACTTTCTGAGTGAAAATTAATTAAGTAGCAGGAATGTTTATATGTATTTAAATATACTCCATATATTTCCACTGTTGCTGCACCCCCATCATTTAAATATAACAGTAAGTTTCAGTTAATCACACTGGACTTACCATATTGTGTTACAGTTGTTGAACTGAAGCATGCGTGAGGTTCAGGACATGCTCTCACATTTTGATCCACACAAGACAAACCTGCACACTCATAACAGTCGAGAGAGTGTCCTTCAGTAATAAAAGAGAGACATAGTGAGCGAGAAATCCAATTATTTATGTTCGCATAAAATAGAACCTGCAGTGAAAAAAATGAACAGAAGAAAAGCTGAGAATTGTACATCCAACTTTGAGACAAATGAAATGATGTGTTTCAGTGCTCATTTTATAACCTAGAAAATGGGACGGGCCTTCATGAGATAATGACAGCCCTTTGACCTTTGAAAGTCCCTGAAGAAAAGAAAGAAAACACAGTTTGAGTCTAAGCTTTACTGGTCTATATGGTATGTATTAAATGTTTAAAGGGTTACTCCACCCCAAAATGAAAATTTTGTCATTACTCATTTACCCCCATGTCGTTCCAAACCCGTAAAAGCTTTGTTCGTCTTCAGAACACAATTTAAGATATTTTGGATGAAAACCGGGAGGCTTGTGACTGTCCCATTGACTGCCAAGTAAATAACACTGTCAAGGCCCAGAAAAGTATGAAAGACATCGTCAAAATTGTCCATCTGCCATCAGTGGTTCAGTCTGAATTTCATGAAGCGATGAGAATACTTTTTGTACGCAAAGAAAACAAAAATAACGATTTTATTCAACAATCCGTCTCCTCCACTGTAGCGCCATTTTGGAGAGTATCCACTGAACGTAAACTGCCCTGTGGTGCGGCTGACACAGACAAGTAGAACAGTATATGCAGTTTACGTTCAGTGAATACTCTCCAAAATGGCGCTACGGTGGAGACGAATTGTTGGAGACGAATTGTTGAATAAAGTCGTTATTTTTGCATAGAATAGTTTCACTTTTATTATAGCCTGTACTGAATCTACTGTAGGCTCCTTGAAACTTTGCTCAGTGTATTGTGGAGGATTACCCTCTTACTTCGACTTAACTGAAAAGTAATAAATAAATAAAAAATGAATACATTAAATTCTTGAAGATTCACTCATGTGCACGTTTATATGTCACAAGCTTCAAATCGGATTTAATCTTTTGACATGCGCACAGTAACTCAAGAATTGTACAGTTTCCCACTGTTTTTGCATACTAACCATCCGTCTTTTCTTTGTTTTAAAAAGCAGAGTTAATATGTATCTATTTCGGGTCCTAGTTAGGAGACGACAAGCACACGTCTGCAGATGAGATTACAAAGCAAGCGCTTGTGGGACATCGGCTCGTTCCGTGCGTCATGTGTTATTATTACGCCATTTCTACGGCACTGCACATGCGCAAAACTTTCAGCAGGCATTTTGGACACTGTGTATTTTTGCTATAGTCAGTATGACAGAAAACAAAGGATGGGTGTAATGGTGCAAAAATCCTCTTGAGGAAAATGTGATATAAATCTTAATACATATAATTTTTTGTCCTGGTAAAATGTGTTTTTCTCTTTAATAGGTAGAGCAACGTAATTTGTGTGAAAGAAAGTGGAAGATTAAAAGTAAAGCAGCTAGATAAACCTTTACACTGTGTTTATTTAATATCAATACTGATACAAAATATAACCATGCAAATACATACTGTATTGGTAAATAAATAATAATAATTGATTCACTTCATTATGAATTATAAAAATTACTGATTCATTGCATTTTTTATATAGCAATGTAGAACATATAGAGTGTAGTCTGAGGCAGAAGTTGATTAAATAAGTAGTTTTATTTTAAACAAAGAAAATATATGTGTAGAGCACAATGAGAAAGGTTGCATGGTGACGACATTGTGCACCAGCAGCCCCTCATGACATGAGGCTCATGTAGCCTTGAGTTACAGATTTATCACCTTTACCCTCTTCACCTCAAGAGCATAGATACAAATTAAAGGGGACATCGGATGCAAAATTCATATTATATGGTGTTTGCATATAAATGTGTCTTAGCAGTGTGTGGACACAACCACCGATGACGATGAAGCGCTGACACGAAGCTCAAGCTTGCGGTGCGAAACAGGCGTAGAGTCTTCATTCTCTCCCGACATTAGAGCCACTGAGGACGCAGTGGATTAGTTTTGTTTTTGATGGAAAAAAATAAAAAGAGGAAGAAGAGAGGTGGAGTGAACAGTAACTCATGATCATTTAAAGAGACAAGCACCGAAATAGGTCGCTGTGAACGGAGCAGATTTGGACAAGGTAAAAAGGGTGTTATTTTACACGACCATTGAGGAATTTAACCAAAGTATGTTATATACATTTCATGAAGACCCTAAAGAATCATACCAACTTGGGCATCCGATGTCCTCTTTAAACAAAGAATTTACCAATATAGCAAAATAGGCCTACATAAAACTGCAAAGGTGTTACACCTGCCATCACAGATGGATTTAGTGGAACATCCTTCTGCAGTTTCTGACAGCAATGAGTTGAGTAAATATTCAGTGAATCTAAAGTAATTCATTTTCAATATGTTAATATTGTGTTGACAATATATACAGTATACAGCATCTCAATTATCAGATTTTGTTTATCTTGTTAAATTATTTACACCAAATCAAAGATAGTACAGAGGTAATACAAGCTATATGTTTGTAAAGCACACAATATTGTGTCTTTGCTGCTGATGTAGAATGTGTTGAGCCGCTGGATTCAGTGCAGCAGGATAAAGGAGAGCAGAGAACAGCAGAGGAACAGGAAGCTCTGAGTGACGCTCTTAGCACCGTTACACAGGTTCCCCTCACAACATGAGACACTTTCTACATTAGGAATCAATGTTGTGGCATCACAAAGAGATTTAGAGACACAGCCTTTAAAAACCTGTGACTGGAGTCCAATAGTCACTGATGAAAAGATTGAAGAAGAAAACCGTTTGAGTCAGAGACAAGTTGGCCACTGGTATACATGATCTGTATCAAATGTTTAAATAACAGAGAGAAAGATAATGAACCTTCTTTCTTTTCCAGATTCTCACCTGTTGCATTAAAGCAGCGGTCTTCACTCCCTGAACAGCTCACTGTGTTTGAGCAGCTCTGTCCATCACAATAGAAACATGACTTTCCATTGGGAGCGTTAGTGCTGGGATCTACAGGAGGGAAAATAGATATGCTTTCTTTACATGGTCCTGGTCTTACTGTGCACACAATATTAGAGGTGCTCATTGTACCAAAGATAAAACATTTTGTCTTCCCGATCTTTTGCAAAAGAAAGTAACAAATCGCTCTGCCTGTATAAGCAACATTTGTTTTCGGCTGACGTCACATTCCTAATAGAAAATAAAATTACATCCTTTTTTTTCTTGTTAAATGTTCTATAAACTGCTCTATTACAGTAAAGTACAATACCTGGAGCATCTTGGACATTACAGAGATCAGTGTTACAGCACAGAGAAGAGCCTTTTCCAATGCCGAGGTTGATGGATCCACTTGGACAGACAGCTGGAGCACAACTTTTAACCTTCACTGTAGTACTGTTGACTGAAAACACACGAGTGATACAGGAATGAGCAGTTCAACTGAACATTATTTTGATGGAAAATTTATTTATAAATATGTAAACACAGAAAGCATGTCCAATAGTGTATCAAATGTACAAACTTTGCAATATTAAATTCTCTCTAATATTTATTAGAGATCTAAGAATGAGGTCCAAAGGTGTAAATTTAGTGTTTTTCTCATTTCACACATTCTTAAATTTCAAATTGTATTATCATAATGATTTCAGTAATCTATATAGAACATTCTATGTGTGCAATGATAAATTCTGTCCAGAAAAGTACCGGTAGTTCTGTCAGTCAATTATAATAGTACCTTTCAATCCATCATACTGGACTTACCAGTAACTGTTGCGCTGAAGCAGTTGGTAAATCCAGTAAAACACTGACTTGTCTGGGTACAAGAGCCCGACAGAGTTGCGCAGTCATAACAGTTGAGAGAGTGTCCTTTAGTAATTAAAAACACAGAGGTGTTAAGTGAGAGACATCTTGTTTGTACCCAGTAACATTACAGAAGCGATTTGTATTTTGTACCTGTAGTGAAAAGAATAAACAGAAGAAAAACTGAGATTTGCAGATCCATCTTCGATCAGGAGGTGAATGAGATAATGTGCCTGTTTCAGCGCTTATTTTATAGATTATCAGAAGAAGGGGGTGGCCTACATTCTTCTGTGTTCCATACACTGAAAGAATAAAGCGGTTTACTGTTGTTCATACAGGTCAAACTAGTTTGGTTTTTTCACAAATAAGAGTTTAATTTAATCATGTTTGCTCAATTGTGAATGACTACAGCTCTACATACAGAAAGAATGCTTAAGGTATGCCCAACCTTAATATGGAACATTATTGAGAAACCAGGCTAGGAATAGTTCTCATTCTATTTCACGCAAAGTGTTTGTCTTGAGATTTTAACCAAACCCATTAAATGAAAATTAGAAGGGAATTAGAATTTAGTAGGAATTTCACATCACAGGTGCTTCAAAAATCATTAATTGTCATTTAATTTTTTTCTTAAAGTTAATCCACATGCAAACTCAAATAAAATCTGACACATAACAAAACAAAAAACAAATCAGTCGTCACTTTAGAGTAAGCCTACTATAAAATTGATAACATTTTTGAGCACTTGACTTCAGTGTGTAAATTAACATCACTCTTGTGAAAAAATAAGTACACCTGAGCATAATTTTAAAAAGAGTACTTATGTAAATAACATCATTTAAAAATAATGTACTTAAGTACAAACTGAATGTCATTTTTTTTTGGCCACTTAGTTGCATGTTACTTGGAATTAAATGAAAATGAATGATTGTTTACGTTAAACTTTAGTGTTTTTCGACTCACTTAAGAGGAACTTAAGTACGTCTTATATGTAATTTCATAATTACTTCTATTGTCATTTAAATATGTGGAATGTAGTGCAAATATATTATTTTGTTTAGATGTGTTAAACCATTGCAAGAAATAATGCCATTAATAGTACATCTCCCAAATATGTGCTTAAGTGACTTTGAATAAACAATGATTTTAAAAGTAAATGTGTTAAAAAGTATGTGAAATACAGTACATTACAAATGCATTAAACGCATACTGTACTTCTCTCATAAATGCCACTGTCAATAACGTAATGTAGGAAATTGACATTCTTGTAGATCAATTTAAAAAAAAAGTGCTGCTGAGGTTGTATAAGTTTCTCACTCACAAACTTAAAAGAACTAAAGTGTTTTATTATTATTTTTGTTGTTGTTATTATGAATATTATTGTTTTGTAGAATAAAACAAATTTTGTACATAAAATTGTATTGAGGTTTAGAAGAATTTTATTTTTTTTCAATTTCAATGAGATGCCATTCCAAACTTGCATGACTTACTGTCTTTAGCGATTCATTCATGGAAAGATAAAGGGGTCCGATGTTGTTCATACAGGTCAAACTCGTTTAGTTTTGTTTATGTCTTCATGAGTGAGAGGTTAATTTATTTGCATTTTTGCTCAATCTTGTCAGTTAAGCTTTAGCTCTACATACAGTATGAATGCTTAAGGCATGACTGACGTTAAAATAGAACATTATTGAGAAACCAGGCCAAGAATACTTTCATTTTCCAGTTCTTCAAAGACCGTTTGTAATTGTGCAACTGTAACCAAACACATTTCAAATTTAAAACTGTATGACCTAACAAACACTGGGTGCTTTATTCAAATACTGAACTGTCATTTAAAGATTTAATTAAAATTTTACTCCACACACAAACTCAAATAAAATCTGACACAAGACCAAAGAACAAATCAGACTGCCACTCAGGAGCAAGCTTGCTATCAAACTGATCCAATTCTTGAGCACTTCACTAAAATATAAACTAACATCAACCTCCTGGAAAAAAGGTCACTTTGACAATTTTAAAAAGAGTACTGAAATATACTTTAAAATAATATTAAATGTGAACTTAATATAATGTTTTTGGATGCTTATTGCATGTTGATTGCAAATAATGAAACTGTATAATAGTTTACATTTATATTAAATGCAATTTGACCCACTTAAGTACATGTTCATAAGCAATGTCATAATTAATTCTGTAGTTACTGCTAATGAATGTACCATCTCTGATGAAATAGTAGGCGTTGTTAGGCACGACGCAAAGCGGAGTGCCTAAAACCCCCTTAGCTGTTATAAATTCTCTGTAAACCACGGCTTCACTGGGCTTATTGCTTTTATAAAACGGTTTTTCCATAGAGGTAGTAAGGTTTCAAAAAATAAATTAGCAAATTTAGTGTAATCATATGAATAAAAACAGTATTCTTCCACCAAACAGTGTAGTTCCTCAGAATCAGTTGTGGTTGCAACAAAGTGGTTGCCAGCAAACAAAGGTGTATGTTTGTAGAGTAATTTACAACCGGGTGTGCCTCACACGTCCTGAAAAGTGAAGCTGCGGGCTCTTTGATCGCCCCCTGGTGGCTGGCTGCAGTACAGGTCATAAACCCCGCCCTCTCCATGTAAACGAATGGGACTTGAGTCAAAATTAAAAAAAATTACACTTCCAATACAATTTTCCGAAAGATGGTTTTGGTCATTTAAGGTAGTTGTTATTACGCCGATATATGTTCAATTGTTAGTTTTTGTGATAAGTTGGATTTTAGCTAGTAATTTGATGCTATAAAAACAGGGCGTGTCGTTATGGTTGATTGGGTCTGAGGGAGTTTGGGCGGGAGTTTGATACCGCGGCTCCACCTCACGACACTACTACAAATTACGTCATTTACTCAAGATGGCAGCGGCCATACTGAGATGCTTTGGCTTCACTTTTCTATAGTGGAAGGAATAGGAGACGCGTCGTCCATCTTTTTTTACAGTCTGTGTTTACAACAGCTTTGAACGTGGCTCAGCCAATCAGAATCAAGGACCGTAACTATCCGTTTTATAAATCCTGGTTTATAACTGTGAATCCAGTTTCCTTCAGTTGCTCAGCTTTTTTTTTTAAATTTATTTATTTTTTGCAGTTTCCATTTTAGTGATAAACCGTCACATTATTCTGTCTGATTACCTTTCTAGTTCTGCAATATGACACAGGTGAGTTTTTACAACCAGTAACTTTTTTTTTTTTACATACAGATGCAGTCAATAGATTATTAAAGGGGTCATATGATGCTGCTAAAAAGAACATCATGTTGTGTATTTGGTGTAATGCAATGTGTTTATGCAGTATAAGGTAAAAAAAAATAAAAATAAAAAATTCCACAATGTACATTAATGTTACTCCTCTATGCCCCGCCTTTCTGAAACGTGTCGATTTTTACGAAGCTCATCGTTCTGAAAAGTGAGGTGTGCTGTGATTGGCCAGCTCTCCAGTGCATTGTGATTGGCCGAATGACTCAAGCGTGTGACAGAAATGTTACACTCCTTACCATACTGTGATGCCCGGTGTCCCGGCACGACAAAACAAAAACAATAAAACCCATTACAAACGAGGCATTTGTTGCATCCAGTGGGGACATAATTACTGATTATAATGACTTATACTGTCTTTTTACGCATTGCGTATCGCGCTGCGTAAACATAAAACCATGTCTGGAGAAACGACAAACAACAAGTGCTACTCTACACTGCTCAAAACTTGCTTTTGAATTGTCAGTGGCAAATTCTTTAAATATAAAAAAAAATAAAAAAAAAATAAAAAAATTAAAAAAGGCTGTGAGTCAGAAGCACCAGACTATCCTTACAAAGTTGGAATTGCCCCACTTTATAGAAACAGACACCGGCATTGTAGGCTACTCTCCCAGGATCAGGAAACAGTCCTCATCCTCCGCAAAATGAGCTGCACACATCTGAATATTTGGGTTGTACTGTTCTGGAACACTGTTGTAAATACAACTTAACCACTGATTTACAATGGTTTTTGAATTGTCAGTGGCAAATTCTTTAAATATAAAAAAAAATAAAAAAAATTAAAAAAGGCTGTGAGTCAGAAGCACCAGACTGTCCTTACAAAGTTGGAATTGCCCCACTTTATAGAAACAGACACCGGCATTGTAGGCTACTCTCCCAGGATCAGGAAACAGTCCTCATCCTCCGCAAAATGAGCTGCACACATCTGAATATTTGGGTTGTACTGTTCTGGAACACTGTTGTAAATACAACTTAACCACTGATTTACAATGGTGTCCTCTTTTGGAAGATCAAACTAAGTAGTTTCGCTTTCACAACAAAACACACAGCGTCACACACGGCAGGCTAGAGTGAGGAACGGCCGGCGGGCTTGAGAACGGCATGGCTGGGGGGTTCGAAAAAAGGGTGGGCCGGGCGGACGTGGCGAACGAAGTTGATGTATTTCCTCAGCGACCAGCACGGATCAGCTCTACGCATGACGAAGCGGATATCGTCCTCTTTTGGAAGACCAAACAAAGTAGTTTCGTGTTCACAACGAAACACACAGCGTTTTCACGACATGGTGGCAGCAACAATACTACAGCGAGAATCAAAGTTACGCATTTTCTTTGCTTCTTTGCGTGGGAGGCGTTATGCAAATGTAAGCATGGTTTCCCTACGGTGGTTCAGGCTGTAGGATTGCCGAATGACTAAATGACTAAAG